CACATGAGCATCACTCACTATTAATCATCTTGTAAAAACTTATTTAGCCAAATACATCTTGCAGCACCACATCACCTAGTAATATGACACATAACTGATTTCAATAACTTATAACCACTATATCTCAATTAAATCGTATTCCGCCTTATGATAAACTGCATACTTGCAACTAACTTGTATGCATCATCAGCCGTCAAGTATAAATATGTATAAATAGTCTATGGCAGATCAGAACATTGAGTCTAGAGCATGTCTCTTACGAATACACTCATGTTTAACGATTTGTTCCTAGCTATCTGTCCAAAATTCATATAATTATCACTCACGTATTTAAATTTTGTTTTGATAACCATTCATGTGTATTAGTAGTATTACTAAATTCTATCACGGTCAAGTAAAAATGAGGTTGAGGAAATCTCCCCGTAACTAAATAAACCGTATCAAACTAACTGGAACACTAGTTGGAATTCTTCTCCACGGTATACTTTTGTTCCTTCAGTTAGCCTACTAATACAGATGCAATTGGAAATCAACTCATATGGACAACTTACCGGCATAATCGTTATTTGATTTCATAATTTAAACCAAAACTAATACCAATATTAACATTTCTACAATATTCATTACTTTAATATTTCTAAACACAAAATACTTACTACCTATACGTTAAGTTATTAACCAACGGCTATTAACACGCATCGTTTTATTATTATTATTATTGTAACCCCATTTTTTATAGCTCAAATAATCTTCACCCAAATTTTCATTTCAAGCGTTTTAAGCATGAAGGCAGATATTTTAAAATTATTACATGTATTTCCCGACCAGATGCTGCCGCTTCTTTTTGATTTATCTTTCAGCTTACCAATACCCGGAGGATTCTTATTATCCTTGGTAACCTCCGGCGCGCGACGATCCCATCCAATTTGGTATCGAACCAACATCACGTTGATTCTGGTGGGAGAGTAGTGTAGTGGCATTGGACAATAGCCACACAATCCACAAAGCTGTGAACACGAGACTACTCAGAAAATAGATATTCAATATTTAACGCGGAGAAATACCTAACAATGGAGAAGGCGCGAACAATGAATTGAATGAACTGGAGTTGATCGATGGCATGGCTCGGCCATGCAGGCGTGGTCCATCTGAATGTTACTTATATCTTCTATTCATATTAAATATATTGTTCCTTCTCTAGCCTAACCTTGTTCTACATCATGTATTGGTAATTGATACGATACAGTGAGTTGGTGTAGTCGATGGTGTGACTTCCACGTAAGATCTTATAGATTAGGCAGTTATATCATGACAAATCTACAATTTTAGGATTAGGTCTATTATTCGAGCAGTACTAATACCATAGTAGACCATAATTCTACACAACCCTGACCTTCCTCTCAGTTTGCAGGACAAAAATGATAGGATGCTCTGGGGAGAATTGAACAAGGAACTTGGACTTCCAAGAATAGAGCCTTTGACAGTCACACGGATCACTCGGTGAAAGGAATCCAAGCATCGAAATCACCCGAGGCTACTTCGTGTAACACTTAAGAATGCTACCGACGTAGAGGATGTCTTACTAGCGAGTCATTTACTGAAGTCAGATGGGAATGTAAGAATACTGCCTGACATACCGTATTCTGAGCGCAATCTCATCCGGAACATCTCTAAAGAAACTCGCGATCAGTTTTTCCGCGGGAGGAATATAATCGTGCAAGGTATACCGGAAAATACGGACCCTACTCAATCAAAGACTGACATCAGGGAATGGAAATTCATCAAACAGTCCTTGAGGCTCAAAAGCATACTGACTCAGCATGTGACGAGACTAGCCAAGAAGAATGGTGAATCTAGAACCCGTCTAATGAAGAGAACCTTCCCATCTTCCCACATGGCGGCTGCAACTCTGGAAGCATTTCGTGCCAACAGACGTCGACTGCCACCTGGAATCCACATGCACCCGGATAGGCCATACGAAGCTAGGACCAAGCACAAAGGCACGTTGGAGCTAATCATTCTACTTGTGGACTGTCTAGCCGATAAAAAAACGTGTAAAAGACAGGGCCTACCACCTTGGCAAACCTCATATAGGTGGGCTACCTGTCCATTCACGTAAGGCTCATACAGACAAACAGGAAGAAGCTCACGCATTCCAAATTGAAAGCATAAACTGCTTATATATGAACAAATTGGATGAACTACGTGAACTTAGCAATACTAATAAGGCCCATCTGATAGGAATATCTGAAACCCGGATATCCTCTCAGTTCTCGGACCATGAGTTGGCATTACCTGGGATGTCTTTGTTCCGCAATGACAGAAAATCAGGATTTGGGGGCACCAAGTTCATAACCTCGAGTTTGACAATCTTGAGGAATCTATATGGTGCTCTGTAAGATTGTCTAGTACTTCGAGGTGTCTAGTCGGAGTCATTTACAGGAAGCCAACTGCCGACATCGAGTACGATAGTCGTATGCTGGGAGGACTATCTCGCTCTACTCGTCTCGGTTTCACACACATCCTGATTCTAGGGGACTTTAATCTCCCTAGAGTCAACTTCGCGGAACACACGTATACTGGAGGGGACAACTCAACTGAAGCTCGGTTCTTCAACCTCATCGATGACTTGGGATTGTTCGAAAACGTGAGGTCGGCAACTCTTTGGAGAAACAGTCAGACACCATAGCGCTTAGACTGTGTATTCACAGACGAAGAATTTCTAGTTGACAACCTCTCGATCTTGGCCCCCCTGGGAAAAAGCGATCATGCCATCATACCATTCAGTTTTGTCATCAAAACTAAGCTAAGGTACCTCACCAATAAATTGCGTTGGAATTTTAAACGATTGAATGTGCCAGCTCTACATGACTATCTACAACAGGTGGTTTGGGATGTTCACCCCCAAGTCGATGTGGACGGCCGTTGGGACATCTTACTGCACACGCTCTTATGTGCTACAAACCATTCAGTCCCGCAAACAGTTCCCAAAAGCTGCAAGCCACCTACAATAATCAAGAACCGTACCCTTCGCCTGCCAAGCCACAAAATGCACTGTTGGGCGGATTACAAACGAACTAACAACGACGGAGCGTACAGGCAATATAAACATATAAGGAACATATGCACGAAGGCTATAAGAGAAGATAGGCCTCAGCACCAGACAAAGCTTATGGACGAATTTTCCTCTAATCCTAAAAGCTTATTCCGTTATGCAGCCTCTCTTCGTCAAGCCAAAACTGGAGTTTCCAACTTGTAGGTCTTAACGGCCCGACCAACAACGATGGCGACGCCGCTAACCTTCTGGCTGAACATTACTCCCAGACATTTCAACCGACCGACATTAACTTTACCGATGACGGTTTCGTTTGCAATTCCACAGGACTTTCCGAAGTGAATCTAAGCGCTGACTTGGTGTTCCGGAAACTGCAGCACTTAAGATTAGACGCTTCTCCTGGCCTGGACATGGTCCATTCCGCCATACTGAGGGAAGCAGCCTCAATCCTGGCAACGCCATTTAGCGTGATTTTCTCACACTCGCTAAGTCGAGGAAAACTACCGGAAAATTGGAAGCTGGCTCACATCACACCAATTTTCAAAGGAGGTCGACGCAGCAAATCTTCAAGTTACCGACTGGTGGCTCTTCTCTCAATACCTTCAAAAATCATGGAGTCCCTGATATGCGATGGTATAAATGACTATTTACTGTCCTTAAATTTCTTCCCACCACAACAGCATGGTTTCAGGAAGGGTTACTCTTGTATAACCAACTTGCTGAATGCAGTGGACAGATGGACAAGCATCTTCGATCGCAAGGGGAAGGTTGATATCATCTAACTAGATTTCTCAAAAGCTTTTGATAAGCTTAACCATACATGTCTTATCAATAAGCTCAAGCGATTGGGTATCAGACCACCTCTAATCGATTGGCTCACTTCATACCTGAGAAATCGACATTTTAAGGTCAGGGTTAATTTCACTTTATCTCAGGCTATGGAGTGTCCTAGTGGGGTCCCCCAGGGCTCAGTACTAGGACCTCTTCAGACTTATTACTTTTTGCCGATGACGTGAAGCTTTGGAGAGAGGTACGCAACCAAGACGACATACAGGCACTTCAGGATGATCTGACACGACTTCAAAGTTTGGCAGACGATAACGGACTTACCTTTAACGTTTCAAAGTGTAAAGTAGTCCATCTGTGACATGTCGCAGACTACAGTTACAACTTAGGAAACTCCTCTCTAGTAGTATCCCAAGTCGAAAAAGATTTAGGAGTCCTGGTTCCCTACGATATAATGTCTTACGCTTACTGTGACAAAGATGCCTTCCGAGCAAACCTAGCACTGGTAAAATTGGAGCGCATTTTTGGCCAGTTTGACGGAATAACTTTCCATATAATCTTCAATAGTTTTCTCCGTCCCCATTTAGAGTACGGAAACATAGTATTTCCTCCCTCACTCCAAAAAGATAAGGACACTCGGGATCGTATTCAACGGCGAGTCACGAAATCAGTTCGAGGACTCAAATCTAAACCTTACGAAGAACGCCTCCGTTCACTAGACCTTTACCCATTAGAATATAGGCGTCTTAGAGGTGATTTATTAATGGCTTATAGTATTCTTAACACTTCTGGACATTCTCTCAAACATCTACTTAAGCTTAGTTCCAACACTAACCTAAGAGGTAACACCCAAAAATTGGAGACACAACATAGCAGAACGGACTCTAGACACGACTTCTACTCATTAAAAGTTGTCAAATGCTGGAATTCGCTGCCGGCCGAGCTATTCCAAGCTACTTCCCAGGAGTCCTTTTAGAGGCAACTTGATCTATTCTTAAGGACTAAGGCTAGTATCGCACTATGATTTATTAATTTCTTTTCCTGTTTTACTGTCAACATACTAGGTTTCTGCCTGGAGGATTTGGTGATCCCCTGCTACTAGACACGGAAGCCTGTTAAGCGAAAGCTTCTTCTATTACGTCCACAACCATCTGAACCATTTGAATTCACGTTATTCAAATTATAGGAGTACATCTAGGTCATCAAGGTCAGTAATGTTGTCGATCCTTCACAACCCACTTATATCTAAGACTGCATAGAATTTTTTTGACTAGTTCTCGTCTACATAATTATTTACCGTATAAGTTAAAAACCATCATCTTCATTTTTTGCAAACTATGTGATTTTTGAAATTGCTTCTATGGCACTTTAGTGGATTCAGACACTGTTCATGAACAGTAAAACTGCAAACAACCTTATGCACACCGAATGATTGACATAAACCAAACGAACTGTTTTTATTCCTGAAAACGTGTATCTATGTGAATTTGAAGGATATGATATATTCGCGAGTTGTAGCTTGCAATTAAGTATATGATAATATGTTTAGCACCTCACTTTCATAATGTACTTATTTTGTTTTCAGTTCTGAGTTGACGGCGTTAGCTTGTTTATATGTATATGTACGCATAACTATCTTGGTGATAGTGAATCATATATATACAGGGATTTCTTAAATAGTTCGTCTTTTTTACATAACTTGTTCATCTAATGTTTCCAGAAATGTGATAAAAACATTTTTGTAGTAACAAAAAACTCTAAATTAACTTTTCATTTGTTTTCAGACAGTCCTCGTAATTTTAGTTACACAGATTTTTAACAAGTCTCGAAATATCTCATTATGTTTTAGTGTTATTTTTTGTGATCTTATAAACACTACTTGATATATGAAAGTACACCCTATGCTCGGTTTTCGTCTGATTGCATTCCTGATATTTTCTGCTTTGGTTTATTGCGAAAATTTTGATGAAGAACTTCTCATCAAAGATCTTGGTCATGGATATACAGCATTCCATTTCAATTTCGCCGCTACAACTTCAGAGTCTGTTTTTCATTGTAAGTTCTATCAATGTTTAGATAAATTCTGATTTAGCAAAGCACTATAACATTCTTCCAAAACCCATCATTCAAATCCTAAAAAAATATGATGTGGATGAATTTCACCTTTCTATATCAAGAGGGATATGGGATGAACGTTGGGGTAGTAACTTTATTTCAGTTTCCCCTTCTGGAGCTGAACTATGGGCATGGTTTGGAAGTCAAACTACCAGGTAATCCTTATACTTAGTTCAACTTCTAGTGTTGATCAATCATGGTTTAAATTAACACATGCTCTTTCGGGATTATTCTGTGCTTCTTTAAACCGACTATCTACAAATGAACATTTTGCCTCTCCGATCCACTCTTACAAGCCATCTGGAGTACCGAAATTCAGTAGAGTTTCTAGGGAAGTCAGATATTCTCAGCTACCTGGTGAGGCTTTGTGCAGTGAGAATTTGACTCCATGGACTAAGTACTTACCATGTAAATCATTTTCCGGTTTGGGAAGCTTGTTGCGTTCAACTTCACTGTTTAAGTCAAATTACAACACCATGACTATTGGAGTTAGACGAGTGTGTTTGGTAAGCCTTATTTGTAATATATCATTACTACTCAGGATCTAGAATGTCACGAAATCGGGCTAGAGCTGATGGAAACTCTGACGGTTGTCTTTGACAGAAGTTTGTTGTTTGCGAAAAGAACGTGTAAGTGGAATTTAAAATTACTACACTGTATATGTTAACTAGTGATATACAACCTCCTATGTTTTCATTTCGTGTCTGGCTATCCACTATCCATATTACCTTACGATTTGCAGATTTTTTCAAACGAAACGACCGAAATGTTTTGTTCATTCCGAGAGTGTTCTCTATCTAACAAAGCATCTCACAGTCAAAGTAATACATGTTTTTATTTACAGCAAGGCCTTCCACTTGTGTTTTATTACCTGTATGTCAATGCCTTATTATAGATTAGAAATTTGTAAGTTGTGATATCGAGTTGGGATTAGTCTTTTTATCTCATGACCCTACAACCTTCCCTAACATCTTTTCCTAATAACCATTCACAGCGTTATTCATTTTGCACCTCAAATTTCGCTTGGTTTCTTGTTATTGTATTGCTTGTTGTTTTTTTCATGCAACATTTAATTCAACTAATGAGATCAAACCATTCATATTGCTTTACTTATGGATTAAATTTAACTTTTTAGATAATATATCAGTCTGTTCATTTTATTGGAATTTCATGAACACGAATAAACATTCCTCTTCATATTCTGTAACTTTGTCATTCGGAAATATTTAAATTTTGTTATTTACTTTCTATACTCTTTTAGTAAGTACAAATGTATATATCAGTTGGTTCACACTTAAGTGACATGAACAGAAGAATAACATAAAAGAAATAGCCTAAATCACATAGGTTGTTGATGTGATATAGTATTTCGGTTAGCGGCTAGTAGTTAAAAATTAGTTCGATAGGAATTATCTCTATTGTTTTCTAGTTGTACATTAATATTACCAATAAGAGACTAGCAACTTGTCAATTAGCTCACATTATAAAACTTTATTTAATATGAACTTCATTTGGCCAAATCTTTTAGTGTTTATCTCATTCATATGTATTATTTAATTTGGATATATATATTCTCAGCTCCTTGGTCTATCAGAAGTATCCTTGGTTCGGAATTCAAAGGATTTTGCGATGCAGCAAACACTAGTCGCGTGTTCATCCTTACTTCATATGAAGATATGAATATCCCTTTAGATAATAAACTGAAAGTCGACTGTTTGGATAATCGTGTTCTAGCTGCGTATTCGACAAAAGATCTGTCTACACAATTCATATCTTTTCCTTTCAAAACTAGTGGGAAAGAGTCCTCTCCAGAACATTCACCTCTTGTTTCAGCTACCAAACATATAACTGGTTCTGGAAGTGTAAGGGGTGGAGTCAAAGCTTTCCTGACTAGTAGAGCTGATTTCAACTTAAAGATAGTTTATTTTGATCTAATTCCGTGGTACACACAAGTTTTTTTCAGTTCCTTAAAAATCTACGGTTTGGATCCCAAAACACAAAACAAAACAGTGATTACCCCAAGTAAGTCGATTTGAATTGATTTGCTTTTCAGTAATCATGTTATATATCTAATTAATTCTTAATAATGGGAAGTTGTTAAAAAATGCCGCGGTAAGACTGAAGGTGAGGAAAGTCCGCTCCCCCTCTCGAAATATCCTCACAAAGCCTCGCGTATACAGCCACTCAGAGAAGTCTACTCAGTGCCCTCTCGTGGTGAGAATATTATTTGCGAAATTGGGAGGATGAAACGCGAATGTCTAGCGCTTTAACCGGGTTGGTGGGTATGGAGGATTCACCTTGAGAACTGGTAACTGCCGGAAGCTCTTTCAACTCATCCAAGTCACTAGCAGCAAGGAGTCTGGTGTGAGTGAAACTATCTGTGAAGCTGATGGGATGCCAATCAATACCATCTACGACGTCTTGGATGATTAGCAGAGTTTTTCGAGGGGCAGTTCAACTGGTCTGTTACCCTGACGACATCAATCAGACTGTCCTGCCCTTCATGTTCGGTGACGACTGATCCACTTGACGAGGTGGGAATTACCAAGGAACCTCAACTCCTGAAGCTCCACAAATCACCGAGCTCAGATGACTTACCTCTAACCCTTCTGATGATGCCGGTTAATGAACTGACTGGGTTGTTCATATGTGTCTGGCAATTAGAGAGTGTTTCAACATCGTGGAATGAGTTGATAGTTTTCCCTATCTCAAAAAAGGTTCACATCGTTTATGCAACAACTGTCTACTTCCGATCGCGTCGAAACTATTGGCTTCCGTCATATTTCGTGTAATTGTTCAAAATCCAAGAAAGATTGACTCGTGAGGAACAGGCTGGTTTTTGTTCTGATCGAGGATGTATTGATCATTTCTTATCATTAAGGCCGCTCTCGACTCGCTGGACAGGACCGTTCTCTGGGATTAACTATTGAAATAGAGTATGCCTGAGAAGTTTATTAACACCCTGAAAGCCCTATATACAAACGCCTCAGTCGGGATGAGGGCACGCAACCATTTGTTGCCCGATCTTACCGTTCCTCCTCAACTTTGCCATCGATGATTATCTAGAAAAATCTCTGATGAATGTAAGTAATAGTTGTAGATCTGCTGCTTGGAGAATGACTTCTCGACCTTGAGTATGCGGAGGATATTGTCGTACTGTATGTTGATACCCAAGCCATGTAATCCGCACCGAGTCAGTTAACAGTCACTGTCCGTAAGTACGGCACTTCTTCTGCACCTTCCAAGCGCAAAGTACTTTTACAGGACTGATAGAGCTTTGAACTAACACTCTGGACAGTGAGTTGGTAGACGTAGTCGAGAAGTTTGTGTGTCTGGGTAACTGTGTAAGTGCTGGTGGTGGCGTCGGACGAAATCGATCCGTACATAATGAAAGGCAGAGTGGCTTATGCCAATCTGATCCATATTTGCGCCTCCGTGATGTCAGTCTGGCTGCAAATGGTCAGATCTACAATGCATCAGTGAAAGCAGTTTTTATCTATACCTGTGAAACTTGGCCTCCGAGTTGATGTTAGATTACTCTGTGTTTGGTCATCGTTGTCTTCGAAGGATTGCCGACGTCCAATGGCGACACTATGTTAATAATGTAGAGGTCCGGTATCGTGTTCGGGCACAGCGACGGTAATCCAATTAGTGTCACTATCTTGAAACATCGACCTCAGTGTCGTGGACATATCCTACGAATGTCTTCCCAGAGAATTCCACGTCGCGAATTATTTGCCGACGCTGGAACTGGTTGAAAAAGGCGGAGAGGCAGTCAGTGTGTGTGTCGTGGTATGAAAAAAAGCTGTACAAGGCAGGCTTCTGTCGGACCTCCACGACTCCCTGGTCGGTGTCCTAGAGATGATACAACACAGTGGCTTGAGACGTTATCAGACATAGCTCAGTATAAGCCAGTGACGATTATGCCGAAACTTTATTTAACTTCATAAAAGTGTGAGTAACTTCTTTGGCTGAAAGAATTCTTTCTGGTTGTATTCTTCCCAACTTAACTGCCTCTCCCACTATTGTTAATATTTTTATCTCACTCTCGTACACTAATTTCTTCACATTGTTGCTCTTCTTTCTATTATACTCACTTCATCTCTTCACAACCTAATTGTTATTGTGTGGCGCATATGTATTTCGTGCCCCTTTATACCAGGGTTTGTGTGTCTTAATGTCTGAAAATGGTAGCTAAGTCACAAGCATAATTTTACAGTCTGAATTATTTGTGCAATTGTTTTTCATTTCATGCATTCTATGAACGTTTTATTTATATCTAGCACTTAAATTATCTCTTATTCTTTCATTGTACTAGATGATCGAATGAGATTTTTGTAGTCGTAGGCAGTTTTATACTTTGTTAATATTCATATTTGATCACCAGTCTTTCTTAAATCATTTTAGTGTTTGAATGAAATACGTTCATTTACTTTGATAGACTGGTTGGCAGTTAAACCAAGCTTGGCTAGGAAACGTATAGGCAGTATTGAATTAGTAATCACCTTGCCTGCTCTTAATCAGCTAATCATTACTTATGAGTTTCGGAAAGTTTTACAACGCTGGAATGAATTTCCTCCTGACGCCAATCATGGCTTTTTCCTTCCTGCAGCAACTGTTTCTTATGTTTTAAACAGCGAACAAATAGATTATTTAAACAAAACAAAACATACAGCGTCCCACAATCTGAATCTCCCGAATTGGGCCAGTAGTTACAATCAGTTTTTGTAAGTTACTTGCCTATTCATAGATCCCCTAGCTTGTGTTTCTAATATCCCAAAATAATTCATTGTTTTTATGTTTAGTGTGCTCAAGTAGATAAGATCTATTTCCCACCAATTTCATGGCTAAAAAAGCGAAAACTAGGTAGTTTTAAGGAATAAGTCCAACATTACCCCCAGTAGTTATCGAACCTAGATTTCTCTGTTCACCTGTTACAAGTTACGATAAATGCTAACCGGAAGTGTTCACTCTGGTGAAATTAGAAATCTCTATACTCACATACTAAAGTATCTACGAAATTCGATCAGTCTGTATATGAATACGTTTGCATTCGATTTCCAGTGATCAGTTTTATGCTGATCGCAAACTTCTCCCGATATAGTCTATGGAAGTAATCAGATTACCGATGAATTTCTATGACCTGTGGACGATAGAACTGTCAACTTCACTCCTTGTTTGAAGTCTAATAAAATACCTAATGTTGATTAAAAGTCCAGCGTTTCACCACCATGGAAGAAGTAATGATTATGGAATATTCACTGAATCTTACCATTTTAAGTAAAAACTGTTTTCATCCAAAAATAGGATTTTATGGATGGCACTTCGATCAGCTGTAGATTAAAAATAATCATATAGCTTTTGTATTTCATTATCTAGTTTTGGCCATAAGTTTATTTAGGAACACTACGCTCCATCTTATTTTTGTTATGATAGACCTGTTATAGCTAATCTATTCATGAAAAATAATTGACTATTATTATCTGCTATCCGATTAAACCACTAGTGCTTGACCGGCCAAACTGAGCAGTATAAGAAGATAACGTAAAAGACCGCATCCCCCAGAGGCCGAATAATAATCCTTACAAATTGTATCTATAGGCGGCACAGTCAGATACATGTGAGGAGTGACCTTGATCTAGTGAATGATCCACTTACAACCTGTCTATATCATGCGACCGTTAGTATTTGCGTGATCTGTCTTGCTTTGTTCAGATACTTCAAAAATTATTCTGTAGGCGATGCACCAAGTTAGTTAAATGTCATATCGGGAATGGATGTTACTTGGCTAACCCAAAATGTTCACTTAGTTTCACAGTTTTTACGTAGGAAACTCATCAATAATACAAGCTAATAACAAAACACTAGGCTATTTGGAATAATCATAAGAATCAAGACGATGGAGATGTCCTATCAAGTTGTATAACAGGGAAAGTGTGGATGAAGTGAGTGATAGGCCCTTGTAATGCAGAGGTCAGACTAACCCAGCTCGGACACCAATTCAATAGTAATATACAAGTACGCCATCGACATGTTAAAACTATCTTTTAAAATAATATCATTGTTTGTTTTCTTCTTTCTACTAGCAATACAACTCATTCTGCACCTCATGATGGTTTTGTTCGTCTACACACTCCTGTATCTCTGGTCACAATGCCAACACCAGATTTCAGTATGCCATTTAATGTTTTGTGTTTGGTCTGTTCAGTCGTTGCTGTTGTGTTTGGGTCCGTTCACAAGGCTACGACTACTGTTTTCAACGTTACTCTTCAACAGAATGCCAGCGACTCAATAATAACACATCTAATAAACCGCATCTTAACGAAGAAGAATACTTCAAAGACAATGAGTGAACAGAATATATCAACGAGTGCTCCAAGCAATCACGATAAAAATGACTGATTTCGTTAAGAATAATCATATGCTTAAGGATCAGAACCGTGATACACATATTTTGTATTTGACGTCGTTTTTGTAATAAAATCATAGAAACTAAAATACCCACCTTTTATAGCCTTCTTTACAAAGAGCAATCTACACAAAAATGAAACCGTTATACTAAATATGTAACCCATCAATGTATTTAAAAACAGAATTGCTTCACCGAACTAAAAGTTTTATTTTAAATATTTACATGTATATAGGTCGATACTAAGAGACAGATATTTCAATTTCAAGGGATCAAAGTACAAATATATACATCAGGTAAGGTTATATTAACGTAATTTATTTTAGTGAACTCTTTCCTGGGTTATGGTCACTATACCTGGAAGTGTGCAGAAGCCTTGTCTGATTTTCTGGTGAAGTATCCTGAGGTAGTCAGAGGGCTTCGAGTTCTCGAAGTTAGGTTTTGTTCAATAACACTGATATATTATAGCTCGGTGCTGGCACAGGACTTTGTGGAATTACTGCAGCTATTCTCGGGGCTCTTCATGTTCGATTCACTGATAAAGACATGACATTTTCGGATAAACTACATCTTAATGCTCAGCTGAATGGAATCAAAAATTATGATTTTACTCCATTAGATTGGAATTATCCTCTCGACTGGTCAGGTGGGATCTTCGATACCATTTTAGCATCTGATTGTTTGTACGATAAGGAAGGTGAGTCCATCATTCTAGTCTCATTTTTAGTATATGAACCGTTTTTGAAGACTGCAACTTTACAACTAAGAGTAAACAACAATGCATCTTTACTTCTTTCTTTCGAAAATCGGAGGTAACCTCGTTTAAAAAAGCTTATGTATAGCAGTTCTTTTACAGACCTCTCAGTTTTGTTTAAGAAATATGGTCTCAAGGCCGATGTTCTAACTACACCTAGTAATTCGTTCAGAAATATACATTTATTGCGTGTTACCTCTAGTCAGCAATGAAATATCATTTCGTTGTGTTTTTTGTGTATGAATTTGATAAATATGTTTGTTTTGAATGAGTCTTTTTTTCATCTCTGAAGTGCACTCATTATCCCCGACGTAACTTAACGTGTTTATAAATCAATAAGATTATATGGATTACACTAGTGCTGAAGTTTTGAAATCAATTACTTTTGATGTGGACATCCCATGTACCTAAATAAATTATTGCGCTTGTATCACGAGGCAAGCGCTAACTTAGAATCCTGAAGAGATAAGGGAAAGAGGAAAGCTAAAGAACATATTGCGTCGGGAGTTGGAAGCAGACATCAAAAAATGCATAGCAACTGGAAAGAGTTGCCCAGGACAAGGTTCGGCCGAGAATGTTGGTGGACGGCCTATGCTCCTTCACAAGGGGTGACAGGCGTAAGTACTTTTGATATGCGTAACACATAGACAAAAATATTTCGTTAGAAAAAATATGTAACCGACCGAGTTTAACGTTCCGTAGTTAAATGATGCATACACCAATAATATTGTTTCATTCCAATTATTGTATACTAAGAAATTTCATTTTCAGTTTTCATTGTGTGAACACATTTTGACAGATTTCCATAGTATAATCAAGTTTTCAGAATGGCTATTAATGGTCAGTAACTACAAACCGATAAGAGTTGTAGTCAAGCAAGATTGTTTGGATATCCTGTGGTTTGGATTACATTTGTAGGGGTAAGATATCAAAAAGAATGTTTCACTTTATTCGGATATCGAAAAGGACTAGTGGATTAATAGTCTCTAACTTCATCTTCCAGTAGAGAACTAAATGACAGCCTAATCCCGAAACACAGTAGGGATTATGGTTATTTAGAACACAGACACACGTTCAGACGGCCCTCAATCGCAGTATTTCTCGACATTAAGGCGGCATTTGACTCTGTTGATCGTGAAGTTCTATGGCAGTATTTGTCATTGAAAGGAGTACCAAAGAAGTACATTAACCTTATACAGGCTCTCTACTCCAACACAACTGGTCGAGTGAGAGCTTATGGCGAACTGTCATCAGAATTGATTACCTCAAGTGGTGTTCGTCAGGGCTGCACACTCTCTCCGTTCTTGTTTAACTTTGTCATCGACGTATTTTTAGAGATAACACTTTTCTCATCTAAATTTCTAGGGGTTGAATTTCTACCAGGAGATTCACTTGTTGACTTGGAATATGCCGATGACAGTTCTATTGGTGAAGACGCTGACAAAATGCAGAGTCTTCTGACCACTCTAAGCAATAATGCAAGCATGTTCGGCATGCTATTCTCCCCCTCGAAATGCAAAATATTGCTTCAGGATTGGGTTGCATCGACACCCGAACTAATGATAGGGAGTGAAGTAGTTAAGCGTGTCGACCGCCTCACTTATCGTGGAAGTCTCATCAACCCTTGTAGTCTGGTGTGTGACGAAATCTCAACAAGGACACAGAAGGCTCGACTAGCTTTTGCCAACTTGCGTCATTTATGGCGTAGGCGAGATATCCGTCTATCAACCAATGGACGTGTTTACTGCGCAGCAGTTCGTTCCGTCCTACTTTATGGCAGTGAAACATGGCCGGTAACAGTAGAGGATATTCGTTACTAGAATTCGATCATAAGTGTCTTCGAAACGCTGCTCGTATATCCTGGGACCATCGAGTAAGTGACGCGGTTGTTAGGAAACAGGTACTAGGTAAGGATGGCAAATCAATTGATGACGTAGTGAAACTTCATCAGTTGAGATGGCTGGGACACGTGTTACGTATGCCCAACGACCGACTGCCTCGACGTGCTATGTTCAGTGGTATAGGAGTAGGTTGGAAGAAAGCTAGAAGCGACCAGACCAAAACATGGCACAAGTCCATGAAGTCACTGACAAGTGGACTGAGCCATGTTGGTAGGTGTAGACTACCTGGTTGGAGACCGCGAGATGATAGCAACCGAAGGTTAGAGACCCTGAATGACATGGCTCAAAATCGTTTGCAATGGCGCAGGTGCATACACTCTCTGTGTTCTCCCAAATTCTAATCTTCTGATTCCTCCTTGTCTCTTTTTTTCTCTTCTCAAATTTATTTCACTGGATTATACTCTTCAAATAACATCTCCAAATCCTAATGTTTCCGATTACTGCTTATACTCTTATTACCTCTACCACTACGGGATTTGAATCGACAACTGCATCTCTGTGCTAATGTGGTATGGCAACTCGAACTGATGTATGTATGTACGAAGTTCTACGTTGTTACTGACTGACTGACTGATGGTTATTTACTGTTGACGGTGTTCTAAGGCTTAACGCTACTCCGGTTAGTGACTGAGCGCCAGTGGAGTTATTCATGAAACATGCACTGAGAAAATTTGAAAACAAACGAAAACTGGATATGCACGGCCATACTTAACTGAAAAGCTTTAAGTGGTCTACCCGACAACACCCCAAGTTGTAGTGCTCATCCTTTACCATAAGTTGTCAACGAAATGATTTGAAATGTACTTTACGAACACCAGAATATGATGTAAGCTAGTGTTTGCTATTGCACACACAAAAATAAGCTTGATGAGTTAGTTAGCTTAGTGTAAAAATTCACCAGCAGCGACCAGGATATGTGCGAAAAGACTTGCTAAATATAAACAACTGTAATGTGACAAATGTTGGAGTAGATACAAAAGTTAGTACTCAATTACCGACCCATAGTTCCCATCAAAAAACAGTGAAAATAAGTATGTATGTCCCTTTCACTGAACTACTTGATTAAAGACATGCGTATTTGTTCTTTTGCATTTTGGATAGCCTGTATGTTGTGAAAAAGAAGAATTTTATGTATTTTTATTTTAAAAACAATTGACTAAAAATTATCTAATGAAATGAACACAGCAAGGTTGTCGTTCACGCTTGCACTGATGTGACATGGGAACTTTGGTCCACACACACCTGTGCTAGGCTTTACGTTAAAGATGAGTGATTATGATCTAGTTAGCGAATAGACTTGAGCTGGTTAAAGCAAACTTTGTGGCAGTTTTTCGGCAGACATGTTTCTCAAACAATTTTTTTAAACTCAAGAACTGGTACACTTACTCAACACACTGCTTATGAGAGAAGCAACATTTGTTGTGAATCTACACCCGTAACAGTTGACAGATGAGTAGAAAACCAAACTGGAAACCTTGCGTCAATATGTCGGTGACCTTTCACTGCAATAAAACAGGCTTTTTCAACAGATGAAAAACCATTAGCGTTTAACAGCATATCATATCGTCGGTTTTTGTATATTAAGGCTTATTTTTCCACTTTATCTCATCATATGAGACCAAATCATGTAAAAGTAGTAACTAAAGGAATCGCACTTAAAGGTACATCTACAACGAAATTATGTTAAACATAGACTGCCCTACTCAACGTAGATACTAGCAAAAAGGAGCTAAAATTACCTGTGCTACCGTTTGCTCTCCAAGTGGGATATCGTCTGTCCTTGCACCAACTCGAGACACTAAGGCGGTTGCGTCGGACTCTAACAGTATGCTTTAAAGAATATATTGATTTATTTCACTATTTACCCATTATGACACAGTTCATCAACTATAAGGAAAATTAAATCTAGATTATCCATCAGTGTTTTCTTTTCGACTGATCGTTTCAGAGCTTGACTGACAGAATCGTACAAGCACTGAAGGGCACTGACGAGTAATAACTTACAAAATCAAAGATCCATTACGTGACTCACTTCGTTTTCGTTAGCATCCCCAACAACATAAAAGTAAAGATCGCCCACGTTACGATAAACACATGTCGCGCCGTCCAGCAACGTGATTTCCGCTAGAGAATTGAAAGAGCAACATACATTTGTACTGATTCGACCAAAATAAGACGTACAAACAGTTATGGTTGGAGTAAAACATTAGGACAATGAGAATCTTTGGCGATGATAAGAACTTTTCCATATGATTAACAAATAATAAATCAATTTCAAAACGATTACTTTGATGTCCCCGTACTGCCATAAGAATTTTATCATCAGAGGTTATTATAAAGAAATGATGTTTGATCGATTGTGCAAACGCATCTTTTAAGCATAAAAGTCTGATCATGAAAGTAAAGGTAGTCAATGGGCTTTATTAGCCAAATGTATTTTATATATATATATATATATATATATATATATATATATATATATATAAGAGAGAGAGAGAGAGAGAGAGAGGATATGTTAATTATGTCTAGTCACAGCTCATCTCGACAGGCGATGTTTCCTGGTTTAAGAGAAGGTTGAAAGTAAGCTAGGGGTTCTGTGACATTTGGTTTGTGTCATGTTGGCAGATACGGGCTACCTGGTTTGGGCCCATGTGCTTATTGTAACCAACAGCTATGAGCTGGATGACACGGCTCAAAATGACACAGATGTGTTCACTCTTTATCTTTCAATCTCTCATTTCGGCATCTCAATGCATACTTTTTCACTCTGTCTTCTATAGGTTTTTTTTTAACTGTAATTACTACTACATTATTCCAGTCTATTTTGCTATATACCTTGTTAAATTCATTATGGTGTGCTGGTGATGTGTAGTAACTTAGGGCAGTGCAAAACTGTTTTAGGCTCTACGTTGATGATAACTGATGTATACATATATATAGTAGTCCGAAAAACAAAGTGCAATTTTGTTTGATCATTAGTATGATGAGTTTCAGTCAGAGAGCTGACCATATCGTTTTGAGTACACAAAAATGAGTACATAAACGAGAAAGTGGATATTTAATTGTAGGTACTCTAGAAGGCACAAGATGGACTTATTTTATGTGAACAATTTTTGAAATAGGAAACTCTATTCTAATCGAAAGATAAAAATTTTTTCTTTAACATTTCACGACGGCAGAAAAAAGTAGGACTTTAAAAAAAGGATGCGACAAACTTGGAAACATTCCATGTTCAGGTACTAAGAATCAGGTAACTCGAAGATAATGTTTGAACTAGTACTTTATAGTATTAAAATTTGTAAATAAAAGTGCTTAATGCTACTCTGTAACACTGGATTCTTTCAGTGTACTTGAAAATGTAGTCAGTAACAGTAATTATTAGATAAGTTTGAGTCGAGTACACCCGAGAGTCATTGAGTTGTATCTGATTCTTAGGAATCTTGAGGGTTACTGGTTACAGCTTTAATTCATATCAGTACACAAACACTAGAATGCTGAGAAGTATAGAGGATATTTCGGACTGGCCACCTCAAGACTTGTTCAAAAGCCGAAATCAACTGCTTTATATCCAGATCCTCGTCATCTGCAGTTTCAGACTGCCGACATGCCTACTAAAACACGTAACTTGGTTACTATGTTGGAACTTCCAAAATGAGATTAGATCTTTGCAGTACTACGAATTACGAGAATTGCTTTAGATTCCTTAGACTTATATACTTGTAATTGCTAAGAGCGAACTACGGAGACGGTACGTGCTATTCCCAATGGTTTTGGGTTCTGACGACTGGCACGACTAATTAACATTATTTTTGTTTACTTTTATCTTGATGAGTGTGAAACGGAATGGACCACTAACAATAAAAAATTGTAAAGGAGATGGTTTAAATCCGCAGTTGAACCTGTCACAGACCCACTAAAATGAAAAAAACATAAAAAATCAACGAAAATTTACCGCCATTAGTTTTGCTTGTTTTTTTGAAGAGTTTTGACTCGAATTCCAGTTGGAGCTTAACAGTTGGGAACGTTGAGTCATAATACTACAAAATTAAAGTTTGTTTGATATACTGAGCTACCTTCGTTAAAATGCGCTTCCCTTCACTATCTAAGATGAGTATGCTATTAATAGAATATAAGGACGGCTCCTGTGGAAATGTCGATAATCTATATACATACCAGTAGCATTGTAAGCGACAAAACCAATGGTTGGCAGATGTCAATTAATCCGCTTCGTGTGTGTGACCTAAGCAGGCGATTCATTATCCAATAATTCGGGCTTTGAATATGTCTCTTGATGACAATAATGAGAGTTTGTCTAATTTCCTCAATGGTATTCTCGTTTGTGTTATATTTCATAGATGAATCAGCAGTATGTGCATACTGCACTTCTTCGCGTGTTAGTCTCTGAGAATAATCTCTTGTTAGGAAATGTGTGTCATGAGGATCATGTGTATTATTAGAATATAAAACCACTGAATATGTCCTCTGGGTTCTCCAAACTCAAACAAAGATGAAATAAAGGATAAATATGGTTCAAAACCACTTCTTAGTCAATTAAATCATTCAGTGTACGATAAGGCTAAATTTCAAATGGTTGTGGACGGAATAGAAGAAGCTTTCGCTTAACAGGCTTCCGTGTCTAGTAGCAGGGGATCACCAAATCCTCCAGGCAGAAACCTAGGTATGTTAACAATAAAAGAGGAAAAGAGATTGGTAAATCATAATGTGATGCTGTTCTTGGTCCTTAAGAATAGATCAAGTTGCCTCTTGAAGGACTCCTGAGAAGTCGCTTGGACTAGCTCGGCTGGCAGCGACTTCCAGCTTTTGACAACTCTTAAGGAGTAGAAATTGTGTCTACATTCCGTCTTGCTATGTTGTGTCTCCAGTTTCTGGGTGTTACCCCTTAGGTTGTTATTCGAACTAAGCTTAAGTAGGTGTTTAAGAGGATGTCCAGAAGTGTTAAGAATACTATGAGCCATTAATAAATCACCTCTAAGACGCCTATATTCTAATGGGTAAAGGTCTAGTGAACGGAGGCGTTCTTCGTAAGGCTTAGATTTGAGTCCTCGAACTGATTTCGTGACTCGCCGCTGGATACGCTCCAAAGTGACCTTGTCCTTTTGGAGTGAGGGGGGAGTACTATGTTTCCGTACTCTAAATGGGGACGGATGAAACTATTGAAGATTGTGTGGAAAGTTTTTCCGTCAAACTGGCCAAAAATGCGCCTCAATGTTACCAGTGCAAGGTTTGCTCGGAAGGCATTTTTGTCACAGTTGGCGTAAGACTTCAAATCATGGGGCACCAGGACTCCTAAATCTTTTTCGACTTGGGATACTACTAGAGAGGAGTTTCCTAAGTTGTAATAAATTGGACTTCTGGATAAACTCTTAGTATAATTAGGTACCTAGATCCTAAATTGCTTATGTTCACGTCGCCTTTTCTCTTTGAAAAGTCTTCGAATTTGTCCTTTAAAACAGGGGTTTTATACCTATTTACAATTGTCTGATTTGGACCTCGAAATTTGCCATGTGGATCATGTGAATCGTGAACATTATAACACCATTACGAAGCTGACACCAGCATAATGAATAACAAGAGAATTTTACGATTTAGTTTCATGAGGATATTAAACAACAATATACTTGATACAGAGCCCTGACGATACACGTATGCAGTGCTTTCATGAGTATTCTTCGGACCGTTCGAGAAGTAATTAGTGTTCATTCTAACGATTTAATCTTGTAACTTTTCACATTTAATCTTTCGAAGTGTTACGATAGTTAGCAACTATGCCTGTTGATAAAGAACGGTTTTAGTACTTTCAGACCTTTTTACTCGTATTTACTTTGGTATCGATGATTGCAGTAGTTCTACCACTTTCAACGCCGTACAACATAACTAACTGCCTTGACATTCGTATTGAAGATTTTGACTTTGACGTTAGTTGACAGTTGTTTTGAGTTTCATGTGTAATTCAACTATAGGAATGCTGTCCTTGTCTTGTCAATCCTTACCTTTGCCTTTGCATAAGAATCTCCTTATTCGTCGATGATGCTGTCCACGTATGTGGAAGTTTCCACATCTTTCAGAGCTTTTCCGCCAAGTGCGATTGCGTTGATGTTCTCCGTGTTGCGTTTGATGGTCTTGGTTTGTCACTTGTGTATGTTGACGCCTACTGATGTAGGGGCTTCTGTTACACTGGCTATCTTCATCAGCATTTGTTGGTATGGATCGGATAGATGAGCTAGGTTATCTGCGAAGTCCAAATCGTCTAGTCGCATCCAAACTGTCCATTGTATTGCATACTGCCCCTCAGATGTGGAGGTCTTCGTAATTCAGTCAACCACGAGAAGAAATATAAAGGGTGACAGTAGGAAGCCTTGTCTGACACCGGTCCTCACTTGGAATGCATCCGGCAGCTGACCTCCATGCACGACTTTGCAGTGTAGTCAGTCGTATGAGTTCCAGATGATATTGACGATCTTCTCAGGTACACTGTAGCGTTGAAGGAGGTCCCGTAAGGTCCTCCTATTCACATTGTCAATGTCTTCCCACAGACAAGGAAGTTAGTGTACAGTGACGAATTCCATTCAATTGATTGTCAACGATAATCCATAGTGTCGCTATTTGGTCTTTGCACGAGCGATCCTTACGGCATCCAGCCTGCTGATCTGGAAGTTTGGCGTCTACTGAATCTTTCATCTGGTTCAGCAACACTGTTGAAAACGTTTCCCGTTGCCGATAGTAGTTTGATGCCTGTGTAGTTCTCACATTGTTTTAGATCTCCTTTCTTTGGTATCTTGATGAGATCTCCTTCTTTCCAGTTCAACGGCTAAAGAAGAGCCAATCCTCAAAATGATAACTGAGAAATTGAAGATTGATCGTGGTGACAGGTCATTGGTCTTTCACAGAGCCAAAGAGAGTAAAACCTCAGAAGCCAGAACTCGTTTTGCGCGTGCAATAGCATTGATACAACTGTTTCTAAATTGGCTGGCGTCACGGCCAGATTCACATTGGTGAACGTTTATGAGCCAGGTAGTCAAATGGACTTGAAACAAACTCGAAGCGGGCTGCCCAAATATTGTTTAAATCTCCCAGCGAAAAGGGGCCTAATACAACAGAATAGACATCAACTAGAAGGGCTATGAGATTCCGTCTGTAAAAACTTTCCGTTTGTGAACTGTTTTAAGTTTCGAGAAGTCGCAAAGAAACTCAAACTACGGTTAGATGCCGGTGAGAAGAGCCTTAGAATTTTAGATTTTCCGGTGCTGAGCCTTCGACGCTGAATGGTGCTGAAGCTCCTAGAAAGACAGCATAGAGCCATATAAGTGATTTTCGGGTGGTTGGGGCTTTCTCAACAAGCGATGGTAGCTAGGTGTACAGATAGAATCTGCCATGCCGGGTGTGACTGCAGTCATAGAAACATGACCAACGCAGTCTGCAAACAGTAGGGAACTTGATTTTCAAAGTCTCACATTAGTAAGAACTGGAAGTATCCAGGGAAGTAAAATGGGAGTATCTCTTTCGTGCCTTAAGGTAACCCTCGTGCTATTGATAGAAGAAACCAGACAAGTAGTGAATAGGTCTTTATTTCGATCTTCGCGCAGTCACAGTGGAGCGTGCGATTATCTGTTCAGACAAACAAAGGCTCTCAACATTCAATATAAGATAAAAGGGAATATAACGCTTATACAAAATAAGGAAGTGAATGAATACTTGAACAATACTGTTTTGGCATATGCTTGGTTGTTTGGGGTCAACTCTTAACCAACCAACCTAAGCTGTTGCACTAGCTTTCCCCTAGAATCGACTTCCGTAGGAACGTCGGTTCGATTAACCTATATATCGAAAACACCTTAGTTCTATTTCTCATCCAAGGGAAAATTATCAATTCGCTCACTGTTTGACTTACAATCAGTGACGACTAACGCTGTCATCTGTCAACGATAGTGCATGGATGTCTCTTCATTTACTAGCTTGTCATCTTATTTTGTAGCATGTGATTTCTTCTACAACTGACGGTTTGCTGTGTGCTTTCATGAGAAGAGTGTGAGAATGTGGAATAAGAATATCTGAGGAAGTGCCGCGAGCGGGCTACCCAACACCATGTGGGTGAGGTACGATTTTTCCATGCTCAGACCGGCTATCAGGTGTTTACTCACCTGCCTCTTGAGTCGCCCTCAAGTAAAAAGTAAAGAAGAATCTACTTCAAAGGTAATGGTGAAACCAATCAAACCTGAAGAACTGCTCCACTGCCTGCATAAAAATAATAAGATACAAAATGGAAATACATAAATATAATTAATAATTGTTCGGTTCCACGTAAGTGATTGGCCTCCAGAAAGGATTGGTATTCTGGAAGGAAATAGACATAGTGTAGCCATCTGGGTTGCTTTTTGAATTCGTTGTATTTGCCAGTGTTAGTTGTATGAGTTTGATTAAAATCCTCAGCCATCGTTTCGGAATACCTAGCTTATGTGTCCAGTATTTTAAAAAAATATTTAACATAACACTTATATATCAAAGGTAAAAGGTCTGGGGAGTTGTAGGTGAGGCGGAATGAGGAAAAAAAATATTTTTAAGTAGATGCAGGGTCTGATTAGCTACGTGGTTAGATTTTATCCTGCAGCCGAAACTGTCAACATCCTTGACTGACTAATTGGATGTGCCCAGCGAACCGTTTTAGTCATTTGTAAAGATTTATCATCTTTACATTTCGATTCCGTAATGGATTTGTCAGTTAAACGATCTAACAACACGTATGGTGGTTCATGATCTAGATAAGCCGGCTTTAGCCTATCAATACTTACTGTGTCGATGTTTCCATGTTTTTCTATCACGAAATATTTAGATTTTCTTGAGACGACTTTGAAAGGACCTTCAAATGGAGGACTGAGTGGTGCTTTTATTTTGTCACATCTTATCCAGACGTGCGTGCAATTGCTTAGGTCTTTAGGTATATATACGGCGCGCGATTGTTCACGAGTATTAATCGGCTTAAGTTTAGACATGTGGTCCCGTAGTTGATCTACATAATTTTCTAAATTAAGTTTTTGACTGTTAGTATTAGGGTTAATAAATTCACCTGGTAGTCTCAGAGTTGTTCCGAAAACCAGTTCCGCAGCTGAACACTGTGCGTCAGTTTTGACAGATGTTCGTATTCCCAACATAACTAATGGTAGGAATTCTGTCCACTGATTGGGGTTTGAGTGAGATATAAGGGCGGTTTTTAGCTGACGGTGAAAACGTTCTAC